TTCATAAACAATTCACAAAATGAAGGGAAATTGTTCGATTCTCACAAACATATGCAAACCAAGTACAATGTTTGAAGGTCAAATGAGTGACATTGATTAAATGAGGTATCTCAATATGATTTTTTTCGATTAACTATTCTCCCGAAAAATAATTTAACGAAAATGATTTCAATTGAACAAATCAAACAAGTGTAATACCATGAGTATTCAATCTATGCAGTATTTTCGTAGAACCCTTGTAATCTAATAAATATAATGAGGATAATGTATTGATTAAAATTAGAATATACTTTATGACAGATTGTAACAAAATTATTGAAGTAGCATAATCGACAATTGATACCAAAACAATCAAAATAACGAAAAAGTAAAGAATCAAATCTAGCATTGAGACCATAAAATGCACAAAATAAGATGATCGATACCATACAGTTAATATTAAATGAGAAAATGAAATGAATGAATTGTGTTGATATATCAAAATAGATATACGAAATCGGTAAGCAGAACATATCATAAGTATAAGGAGTAGGAGGCAGATGAATGATTATAACGGTAGCATTTGTTTTAAATTGCAATTTTCTAGTATACGAATCAAGTTTCATTTTTTCTTTTAGCAAGATTGTAAAATTCCATTTGACAGCTTATAAATTTTGTAAAATCGATGGAATCTTAATGTATTATTCGTTCCAGTATATAATGCACTCCACTGCTTTTGCAATAAGTCAAGAATGGAAAGAGTTAAAGAGCTGCGTTTTTTTGCCAGTCGATAGAGAGGATATGTGAACGTCTTTTTCTCCCATATTGTATAAGATGAAATTGTTTTAAAATCAAGTATTTCTGCAAAGTATTGCAAAAAGTGCATGAAAACGGTCTGTTATTCCAATGAAATTTTGCTTTTAATATATGATTTAGATAGAGGGATTTCGGTTCTATAATTCAAGGTATGATTCGAATGATTATCTTCACACATTCTAATGTTAAGCAAATCAAACTGTATATTTGCTTCCTCGAAAAATATGAATGTTCCTTAATTTTTAAGCCAATTGTCTTACTTTTCGTCAAAATTCCATCAGAGCAACAGATCATTTTTGTACATTTTTTCGATGTTTTTTGAAAACAATTGAATTTAAAATGATTTCATCTTGTACAACATTGGAGAAAAAGACGTTCTTGTAAACTTCTCTATCGATTGGTGACAATCGCAGCTCTTCAAGTGTTTCGCTCTTGAGTTATTATAAAAACATTGAAGCGCATTATATTTTGAAACAGACAATAGTCTTACTGAGGTTCTTGTATAAGTGAAGTGCTGAATCAATCTTCAAAAATATGATTTCGGTTAGACACTAGAGTCTAGCGACAAAAAATTTATTATTTCTGTCTGAGCTCTTCATGAGAACTAACGATATAGTCTTGTTGAAGCCTACCTAATGTTATAGAATGAAGTCGATCGGTAAGTATGAGTTCAGGCAGTTTCCTCATCAATTGGACTTCTAGTTTATGTATCTGAAAGAGAAATACGACTACATCCTATATAAGATTTTTAGTCATGTATTAGCACTCCATGCTTTTACAAAAATAGCTTTGAAAAGGTTTTATCAATTTTCTCAAAACATGTATTCTTTATGAGAAAAATGAGAACTTCTTACATTCACCTTAATATAAAAGTATAGTTTTCTTCTATTTCAATGATTTGAGTTCGGTGCAAATTTTATGCAATTAGTCTTTTAATGTTCGATTTTTTTGTGCTAGGAAAATGGAAATTAGTGTAATCGACTGAATAATTTTTTTTCTAACATGTCATTTTATTTTAATCTAAAAGGTGAGTAGATGTTTGGAAATTTTGTGCAGACAAAATCAAATTCTTACGAGTATTTTTGCAAAACGAAGTTTATGTACAACAAAGCAAAAAAATATTCACAGTTTTATTTTATTATAAACTATATGAGAAGTGTATCTTCATCTATCATGTTAGAAATTTCTGTCCGAAAAGAACGAGTAATTGAATTTTGTAGATCATGCAATGTTTTCTCATAAAGTTTACCACATTGATAACAACTACTTATAGTGAGAAAATTTACTTCTGAAAGACTATTGATAAGTATATGTCACATGTTAATGAATTGACAGGTAACCCAATCTAGTTCTATGATTTGCCAATGAAGTAGTCGCTCGATGGTTACATAGCCAATGTTTAACGAATTTGGTAGTTTCCGGGCAAAAAAAAAGATTGAGTTGTCATAAGCCGTTTGACATGAGCATATTACACAAAGAAGCATCATTAAGCAAATCGATTAAAGTTTCGTCTCTCAAATCAATTTTACTATCATGTTCTGATCTATAATACAGTTCTAGAGTACTCAGATTAGCCATCTGCGAAAAAAATATGACAATGAGTTGAATTGAATGGTTGAGCAATACTAACCGGTGTAATTTGATGCCAAGGAACAATAAAAGGTGACAAAGAGAAAAATTCATTATTGGTTTCATTTATAATAATCTCATTGAAATGAAGCAAATGACTGTTGAAGAGACGTTTATTAATGAAGTAAATCAATCCGAATGGATTAACAAGATCATTTTGCAACGATAAAAAATTCATTGTTCATATCATTCAACTTCTTAGTAAAGCATACCTTGTTCTTTGATTTATCGACCTGAGATTGTACTTCAGTCATTTTACTATATACAATATTCGGCATTTCTCCATTTAAAATATTCTTTTCTTCTCAATGTAGAAGCGATAGAGATTTTTCAAAGAATATTATTTACAACAATAATTTTTTATCATACAATTATATGTCAAAAACACAAAAGAACAAACACTTCAACGAGTTAACACCTTTCTACAACGTAATTATGTCTATAGTCATACTTATTTCGAAAATTTTCTATTTTTTAAATCGAGTACACTCTTTCATAGGACTTTTTTCTGATTTTCCATTAAACTATTTGCCTTTCTGATCAAATTATGAGAAAAATTTCAAAGAAGTCTCATAAGAGATACAAATCCAATATTTGAAGACTAATTTCAGAATATTTTCTTTAATATTTTACCTCCATTTTAACGACTAATAAGTTTTCAAAATATATTGTCCATAATTGCAAAGTAGTTTCTATCTTCTATGGAAATCTTCATCTTTTTCTAAATCTTTCATCTTTGATTTTTCGAGAAACGTTTTCTAAAAAGTGTCCCTTAAATATTGTCATTTTACAACATATTTTGGTATTGTATTTGACGCTGCTTAATCTTTTTTTCCTTAATTCAAGGCTAATATATGTTTTAATCTCAAGTTTTATAAATAAATAATAAAGAAAAGCACTACAAAGAAATGACGAGAAGCGTTTGCTCTGCAAGAATAAATCGAAAAATGTCACGATAATAAACTCAAATACTAATGAAGTAAACTCAACTTGGTTACTTCATTCTGCAGGTGGAAAGACCTAATCACTACTTAAAAAAAAATAAAAGCAGTAACGTTTGTCTTAATTTCACCGAATGTACATGATTTATGGCCATCCTTTTTATATGCATTCATCTATAATTCCATATGATAGCTCATCGTTTTGACTGATTTTTCACATTTATTGTCTACATTGAAAAAATCTCATGCATCACTCGTTTGTAACTTATGAACTATTTGATATCTACTCGTTATTATTAATATTTGACTCTAAAACTGAATATAAGTGATTCGAAAGTTATATTAACACTTAATAGATATTTCATTTTGAATTACAATTTCTGATAAAATAATTAAAATACATTCTCTTCTATCATACGCGTTACATTGAGTTTATAAATTAAAGCATACATGATATCAAGCAAAGAAACTTACTTGTTATTAAGGATGTAGGTGTTCTAGAAATGCCGCATTCACACCCACAACCACATCCTCAATTTTACTGGCCTTATCAAAGAAGATTTAAACCTTATTATCATGTTTTTCGAGAAATTTTTTGCAATTTTTGAACAGGAGAGAGTCGATAACTGTTAAAATCTGTTACTTTCGAGAAATTCTATTTCGAAAATGTCAAAATATTACATAAGGTGTCCAAAAGTGTGCCTTGTTAGATGTAGTCACATAACACTTTGCTGTGCATTGGTGAATAGAAATCTTCAACTATCATCCGATATAGATTAAACTGGACTAGTGATGATATTCAGGTGGTCTTTTTCGGCTCATTACATGAGTTATCAAGCTCGTTTTCGTATAGAGTGATAGCAATTTTGAAGCACTTCAAAATGCTAATAAGATATTGCAAATGAAACATTGGCCACTATGACTTCACAGGAAGCATATTGGCTTGATATGCTTTTAGAATTAATATGGACTGGGAAAAATCTGAGTCAATGCTCATCAATCTTATCTCCAACCAAGCTAGTTTCCAGTTAGTTTGATAACCTTTTTGAAGTATTTCAAAATGATGTAAAAACATCTAAAAAAAATAATCAGTTGATCAAAGCAAAGTCTAACAAGATCGCTCTCTACCAATAATGGTGAGCCGTTTCGGACTAGTACTTGCTAAATTTCGATAAGAAAGGTACAATTTGAGTGAAAATAAATATGATATTCTTAATTCACCATAAAAATATGAATGGAGAGTGTGAGTGTAGGTACAGATGAGACAGATTTCAATCTACATACGCACATCAACATCTCACATTCATCCTCAACTTAGCATTGAAAGAATTTTACTTAGCCAACAAATTATTTCCAACTGAAAATAAGGCTTGAATACACATGAAAATAACTATGATATCTATAAGAAAAAAAAAAAGGGGACGCTTATTTAGTTTTAGAAAAAAAAGACAAGATGAAAGAGAAAACAAATGACGTCTCTTGTTCATGTTAATACTCGATGAAGAAGAAAACGAATAATATCACTGATTAACTTTTTGATTTGAAAGACAATCATTGACAGTTCACTGAAATTTTAAAAATAAAACACAAAATCAATTTTAACTGTTTTAATCAATAACTAATCTTACCATTTCCTCAAACAGTAATAAGATCATGTGGTTGAGAAAATGGTATTGAAGTAACGAAACTTTTTTCAGATGCATCCATCATGAATTTACGTCGAATACTCATAACTTTCTCAGAATCAATAAATAATGAATTATTTTTAATTATTAAATCTTGTTCTAAGATTGATTTAGTACGTAATAAAAGTTGTACAGCATTTTCTTCTTGACATAATTTACTATGAAGTTCATCAATAGCAGCATGTAAATCATCAACTTCTTGAATTAATCTATATATTAAATAAAAGAAAAGAAAAATAATTGCATGTTCTTTCTTTTATTCTATATTGGAATGCAACAGCGACAGTGAATTGTCACTAAATAGTCACTGTTGCATCCCTAATTTCTCTATCAACCTGTGCATCGCAGAGTCTCGACATGCTTCAATATTTGGTCGTCTACTACGTGTTTCTAGACGTGTTTGAGCAACTTGTAAAAATACTTCTTGATCAGCAATGGTTTTTTTCAAATATTCAATAGTTTGTTCAACATCGGAGATTTCTTGAAGAATCTAAAAAAAAAACAGAATTCGAAGACATATGTATGTATATTTATAATGTGTTTTGCAAGCAATAAAAAAAAGAAACCTTTTCAAGATGAGCTTGAATTTTATTTTTCGCTAGTTGTTCTTCTTGTAGACGATTTTCAAGTGAAATATTAACATGATTCCATTGTGACCAAATATCATTGTATATTGTTGCCACAAGTTGGTTACTAGCATTAAGTAATTCATCCGATTGACCAATTTGATTAAGTGATCGACGAATATTTTCTTGCGTATATCTCGCCCATGATTCAGGTACCGATACACTATCAAAGCAAAATATTCAAGTAAAAACACAACTTTATATGAATGAATCTTAGCTTTTTTCTACATCAGTTATAGTACTTTGATACAATGAGATACTGTTTTAACTCTTTAGCAGCCCAATGTTGGATGATTAAGTTCTATTGATGGGTCTAGGTGTTGTTAGGTGTGAACAAAAGATTCACATCTATGCCCTAGTTTTGTATCAAACCAATGGAATAACAACCGCGTACTATACAAAATAAGTAACGATACCACAGCAGTATTATCGTTCTTTCTAGCAGACTCATGGATGTTAGTTCGTTATAGTGCTGCAATCGAAAACAAAAAGTAGTACATATTTGTACCTCTGGCCATTAAAGAGTTAATGAAAGATATGTGAGATTGTTTTTTTGACTTAATTACTATGACCAAAAAATGTTAGCTGTATGATTTCTTTTTGAATGATTTCATTCAATCGCTTTTTAAAAAGTTGGAATGTAGACATACAACGAATAATAATCCGAGGATTCAATCTAGACTAGAATCATTTTCAGTTAATTTCTAACAGGAAATACAAGCTGATCGAATTGATTTCAGAGTTTTCTATGGTAAATCTACATAGACTAAAATAAATGATCGAAAAATGGAAGGGGTAAAGACATTCTATAAGAATATTAGCAATGTTCAACAAAACTCGATCTAGACAGAATCTTGGAGTATTTTCATGATGGCTTAATAAGCAATTGGCATACAACGTAGATACTCGACACTGTCAAAATTCATTGGATAGTTCTCGAAATTTAAACTAAAGTTCCAACTTAGTCCATACTTATTGCATCAGTTATATAACTTAAACAAATTTCTTTGACCACTCTATACTTTTCACTGAGAATAGAATATACCTGATCATTTGAGAGCATAAAAAGTAATACTTATACAAAGATTTCATTGAAGCAAAAATGAAATTGAACAATAAAAGAAATTATATATATATTTCAATAATAATTTTGTTATTCGTTGTGCTTTTTTTTGGCTTTGAATATTAACATGCATAAGATCAATATCCTCATGATTTCAAACTTACGTGTTATCAACATTTTCAATGCTCTCATAAAAGTTAATATCCCATGATGTTGTTTTAATATTAAGAGCAGTTGAATCAAGTACATGAGCATGAAATTTATCTTCTGCATCATGTTCTAATTCATGTAATGAAACAAGATTAAGACTTAAAAATATCAGATTATAAGTATTTAGTCTATTATGACAAAGAAAACTTACGCATTTTGGCTATTAAGACGTTTGAGCATTTGTCGAAGTTTTTGTTGAGATAATTCAATTGTTTTAACTTCCTATATCAACTTTCATTTTTATTAGTTGCTTTTTTTGTAATTATGAAAACTTACTCGAATAAGTTCTTGTTCAACATTATCATGTACAAGATCGATACCTAAATAAAAATAATTTCTTATTTTCTTTTATTTACACAGATTAAATTAGAAAACCTTGACGTTTTTCACGTTCATATAAATTTTTTTGTGCTGTATGTAATGGTTTTTCTGTTCCAGATAATAATCGTTCAATTTCGCGTTGTTTCAATTCAATATCATTTATTTTATGTTTCATTTTATCGTTGTTTTTTTTTAATTCATTTTCCCAATATTCAATATCATTTATATTTTTAGCTAAGCGTTTTGATGATTCAACATTATTTTTAAATGCTTGTTTATCTTTCTCTCGTGCTAAAACTATTGTATCTGAACGTAAGCGTTCAGATGCAGCACGAATTTTATCCGATGCAAAATAATTTGTCATTTGAGCATTATGCCAATCTTTTGGCGTATAACGTATATCAAATGTTTGACGAGCTGATAGAAATATTGATGGTACCATACCACTATTCATATTATTTAAATATTCTGTTGAACTAAATCGTTGTGCTGTTGATATATTTAATGATTGTGTTGGCTCAACATGTGCTGTTTGATAATATACTGGTGAACGTCCTGAAACAGAAAGTTATCAAGTAAATATATCACATATGGTGGAGCAGATGATATACGATTATCAAATGTGTAAATAGATGGTGAAAGGCTACCTTGCTGTGGTTGATGACCCATACATATGTATTTCGTTGTTGCTATTGAATCCATAATATCCATGTTAAAAATACTGAATGAATGAACTTATTGAAAAATTATTTATCTTTGGTTTTTTTCTAAAATGTTGTTTTTGTTTTATTTAATGAAATATTTTATTCAAAAATAATTATATGTACTCTAGTTCAATATTGTATTATATGAACAAATAAAACTCACAGTATTTGTTTTTTCTAAAAGCTTAGTATTATATATATAAATTGTCAGTAAATAAATCAAACTATCAGTATAATATTTAGTGTTCAATAACTATTATAATTTGCTCATTTAAAATTCATTTTTTTCATTTAACGAATACTACTTTTATCAATAACTGAGTCTTTTTTTCATTTTTTAAAGAAGAATATAAGAATAGCTCCATGTCAACCAGGTTAATATTGTAAATTTTGTGGATTTTTTGGTCAACATGAGTTCAGCTAAGCAGTTCTAAAAATCGTCGAAGATAGAAGAGTAAAAGAATATGGGTAACGACATGAAGAAATATATAATAACACGATTGGTGTTTTTTATTATAGGAGAATATGGACAACATCAGCTACTAAAATTCACTATAATTTACAGCCTACAAATAATTCTTAGTAAACATAAAACGAGTAAATAAGAATAAAAAACATTTAAAATAATTCAATACATACTGCAATTTAATTTGAAATTTTGTTTTAGTAATATTTGCTCGTTCTATATTTACTAATCATTTATCTTAGGGTGTATATTATACTAAATGTTATTCAATGATGATATCAGCAAACTCAAGTAAAAGTTTGAATCGATAGAGTCACTCTTTAGTACTTTCATTATTTTTCCAATAAATAACAATAGTACTTATAAATGAACCTTTTTAAGGAACTATTCGTATATTTGTAAGTGAAAAGTACTTATGACACTATTGTTTTAATTAATAAAATAACTTCAGTGTTTCGCAGTAAGATATATACTGATTCCCAAAATATATCCTACGAGACAATAAATACGCTTATAAGTGACTAAAAGATGATTATTTTTCGGCTCATACAATAAAATCAGCTATTATCTACAGCCACCTACTTTAAGTGTAGTTTTGTCTACGGTCTATCCTATCTTATACACATGTGAAAGTCACATCTGTTGATATCCATTAGTATTCATTATTTTATAAAACTATGAGAACAGAGATATATATTTACAATCACCCATTTCAATATGGCACGCTACAGACACATGTGTCGACACCAAAATTACTCAGGTCTTGGAATAACGAAATATTTCGTTTACAATGTTTAATAAATTTTGACACATAATGACACGCTGGCGTACATGTGTCAAAGCGTTTAAAAAACCAAAATGACACATGAAGTACTGTCACACTTTGACACATGTACGCCAGCGTGTCATGCTGTGTGACACATGTTACACCAGCGTGTTGTTATGTGTCAAAATTTTTTAAACATTGTAAACAAAATATTTCGTTATTCCAAGACCTGAGTAATTTTTGTGTCGACAAATGTGTTGGTAGCGTGTCATATTGAAATGGGCATCCACGATCAGTGATTATTATCTACTTTTCATTTCACTGTTGACCATAGTAATCTGTTTTTATGTCATGAGTACGGAACTCAATAATACAATCTTACAGTAGATTTCAGTTAACTTAATTTTTGTTTTTTTTTAAATAAAAGTTCATATCTCTCAACAGATTATAGTTGTAACGATTGACAACCATTGAGTAGTGCCTTTTTTATATCACATCATTATCGTCTCTCAAAGTCTACATAGACTGGATTGAATTCATTCTTTCAAGGCTCTTGTTTTTCTTCAATCTGAACCAAGATTTTTGACTGAAAAAAATAGAAAGAGAGTGTGGGCATGGATGTAGTCTTCTTTTCACTCACACCCACACTATGGAAAACACTTAAGTAAGCTATTACACTCAGGAAGATCTTTCTGGACGCCTCTCTCTATCAATACATTTACTACAGTGTGGAAGAATACATGCTAAATAAGGTGCCCATCCATAAAGAATTCTTCCGTATTTATTACAATTGAACTTTGGTGTACAGTCGCAAAACCGTGTTACTCCTTTGATGCTGTGTTACTAGATGATGTGAAGCGAGGAGGAGCACGACATCTATTTTGTCCTCATACTTTACATTTTGGGGAACATGAAATCTTTAAAATATATTTATAATACGGATTTAAAATCATAAAAAAGTACGTGATTCACCTAGTACTCTTTTGTACTAGTTTAAGAGAGGGAAAAGGGCGCGATATCTCTGCCGTTAAACATCGTATATTGACCAAGAAAGCGTCTCGAAAATCAACTTTTAATATTACTTATAAAGGATATCAAAACAATTTCACCGTCTGAAACTCCGAAGACTTACGCACTTCCACAGGAATTCCCTGGTTGTTGGTAGGAAATCATATATATGTATATATCATGGAATGAAACAGAATAAGTTCTGGGTCCAATTTTCTGGTAGTATCTGTCTCCCCGAAGCCTGGCTTTATCTCTAAATATGAAAAGGGAAGAACTAGTTGTCGAAATCAGACCGAAAACGACAGAATATGGATTGTAACCTGTCTTTGCGTTGAAAACATCGAAACCATTGCCGAAAACGGGAACCCTATGCAGTACTTGTTCCCAGACGTAGTCTTTGGCCCTTACTAATGAAACTCGTATGTGAATATAAAATAGAAATTGTAAGTCATGTATCTAGTTATATAGTTGATTATCGCTTGTGTTCGACTGCGGTCAAACTACGACATAGTTACGGCGTAACTCCGTCGCAGTTTCTAAAAGAGATCACATAGATGAGGTTTTGATTTTTATTAATTTTCCTTATTGTGAATGTTAACGAAACTTTCACTATACAAAAAAATTAAAAAATTTGAAAAAATTAAAAACAAGAATTCAAAAAAAATATTACTAATAAAAAATGTTGTTTAAATTAAAAAATAATGCATACAACGTTTTTAATATTAAATTTAAAAAACATTAAACACTTAAAAAAAAAGTAAAACAATAAGTATCTAGAAAAATACAAAAAGAATTATCTAGCAAAAAGAATTATCTAGCAAAAAGAATTAATTAATAGAAAAATAGAAAAACTTGTTAAAATTTAAAAATAAGAAAAGTAAAAAAATAAAATGCTTATTAACAAAAACAAAAAATAATTATAAATTATTTTCAGAATATTGGTTCTACTTTTTTCAGTAGAATGAATTATGAACCGAAGTCTTATTTGAACGGCTTTTATAGTGTCTACGTGGCTAAGTTTTAGTGCTGGAGTGTGACCAATTATAAATAAGGAGGAATCGCTTATAATTGATTAGTATCAATTAGAGTGGATCGCATGATACGACTGCTGTGATACAGTTGCGCTTATCTGCGTCGAAATAAGCGTAGTTTTTGATGGATGTTCTCACTGCGATCAGTGCAGCGCAGTTATGCGTAACTGCGACACAGGATGGTAATAAAAATATGTAATATTTATTAAATTCTAATAGTAAACTTATTTTCTGGTGACAATCTCGCATCTGTAAAAAGATTTATCGGGTTTGTGTCGAGATTTTGATCAAAATATTTTACTCTAATCAGTCTTTCACTCGAATTTTTTTCATCATCCTCATTGATAATTCAAAGCTGTTAGTAACGTTTATTTTCTTCCATCTATTAATTAATTAGCCAATTTAATAGTCTAAAATCTCAGTTTTTTTAAAGACTATGAACGAGAACAAAGCGCTATATTTTAACTTAACAGTTCGACTGAGCAAATATTGTCTTCGAAAAAGATGATGGGAGTTGTACAAACATAATAAAATAAGTTTTAGGTTCGATTTGATAAAGAAATAAGTAAACCTTAAAAAAGCTTCTTGTCCAATAATTGTAATTAAGATTATTATTTGTTTTGTTTAATTGTTATTGAACAATAGCATATAAGAGTTGAATTATAATTAATTGTCTTGAGATATAGATGTTAGATATTGATTTAAACTATTTGATTGATAATCGATTGATGTCGAATGTTTTTTTTTATATTAATGATGTTAAATTTTCATAAGATTTCGAATATTGATTTTCATTTCACAAAAGAGGGAGTCGTTAATAAGCCAAATCGATCTCCTCCAGAAATTCGACTTTGTCTTTCTAATTTTTGTCCATTCGCCTATCAGATATCTACTTCTATCGAAATCAGATGATTTCATGCAGTTCACATTGCGTGACAATCGATATTCTCATTCTTCGATTCTCTATGTTTTATGCCTAAATAAGCACTATGGTAGTCTATACTGTAGAGATTATTGCTCCACTCATTCATTTACATGATTCATCGGTTCATATATCAAATTGAAGCTGTTGCAATTCTCTATCAAATGATATAATAATATATGAGACAGCATAGTTTACTTATTTTCGTTCATGTTGAAATTATACCCAAGTCAAACATCTTGTAAGCAAGATCTTGACCAAGATACGAGATACACAAATGTGAACAGATCTTGAAAATTTAGGCGCAAGATAATGTGATTATCTTGTACCAAGATCTGTAGTAAGATCTTAGATACAGATCTATAAGATCTTGACTGAAAGACATGTAGGCAAAAAATGATCAATGAAATTCTCATATGGATACCTCTAAAGACTTCTAAAATAGTCTTTTCAATGTAAAATTTGACGCTGAATCTGAATATGAAGTCAGATTTCATCTAGAGACACAAGGGTCTAAGTTAGAGAGTAACATTTTGTTTAAAACATGTTCAAACTCATTGCCCTGAGAAAGATCCTTCAATGGAGATCGTGTTTTCTCGAGTCATTCAGCTCGATCTAGTCCCGAGACGCGGCAAATTAATCTTTAGTAGATAGTATTAAATCAAGATCTTGAACCAGATTTCAAGATCTTGGGCAAGAAACATCGAAGTCTTCTATCTAATTGTGTCACATAAATCTGTACCCAAGATCTAATCACAAATCTTGGTGCAAGATAATATAATTATCTTTTACCTAAATTTGCCAAGAATTGTTC